GATTTAGGAATCCAAACTACAACATAAGTCCCCTGTATCAAGATTGATGCAAAACAAGTGACATTTGACCTCTTTAGAGAGATTTATAAAAATAAAAATAATATGAAATCTCCGTTTTTTTATATAAAAATGCAATGATGGATTATCAGTAATCCTTTCAAAGTGACACAGACACATTGGATTAACCTTCAGGGGCGTTTTTATCATTTTAATGCCATTGAACACGACTATTGATCAGAATAACAGCTAATTTGAGACGATTTCCCGTGAATGTTCTGTAATTCACGTGTTGTGACGTCTGTGTTTGCTTCCCCTGTCACGAGTTCTGATCGCTCAGTGATGATACTTATACCTATAGAATCTGTGGAATCTCAGTTTTAATTTGATATCTTGTTTTTGCAGTTACGATAAGTAATAAGGGTATTTTTACCTTGAGTTCTGTGGTAAGTGTGTTAGCATTTTTTCGCTCAGGGCTCATTTAGACGCTTCTTGTGAGACTTGTGTTTTGTTTCGGGAAAAATGGTTCGTATTGTCAGTTAGCTGAGTTTCTTCCCGTTAAATGGGTATGACACATTAATAGGTTTTTAAATATTAAGAAGCCCTGAGACACAGTTTTGTGAAAAAACACCCCACTGCCCCCTGTACAGGGGGCTCTAGGGCTAAACAGGTTAATATTTAAATGTTTTCATCAAATAAAACTTATTCAACAACAAAATTCAATAACGTGCTTTAACCACTAGGCGGTGCGGGTTAAAAAACCAGTGGTGTAGTTAAAACATAATAATATCAAAAATAATATGACTATTAACTTTATTGTGAAATTAAAACAGAACGGTAAAGGAAAATACAGTTTCAGTCTCTCAATTTGAAGCTTATGCATTGTACCATGAACCTGTATAGACCTGTAACAGTCAACTGCATGAGGAGTTGGAAAGGTAGTTCAGTAAATAATATCTTTAAAAACTACAAAAAAATCCCTTTCTATCAGCTGTGCACCGTTATGGTGTAAATACAGCCTATCTACCAATTGGATCAAATATAAAAGTCAGCCGAATTAGTGTTGATACTGCAAGGAGACGTATTGTGTGAAAAGAAATGTAAGATGTTGTTTAATTGCTAATATATTTATGATCCACGTCACGTATTCAGTTTTGGCGGCAGTGCTTCCTGTTTGTCTAGAAGTCTTGTCATCAGGGCTCTATAATTAAATATCTACGGCAGATATGTAATATTTAATGCAGCCGAACTGTGTATTACAATGCCGTTATGTGATGACTTCCAAAGAGAAAAGCAAGAACAATCGGAATAAAGTATTATTTTATTTAAAAAAAAAAAGTTTTTCCGATTTCATATCGCATAAACACCATATCCCGACATGCATTGCGGCTAAAACAATCAATGTTTTAGCCTATCAAAACCTCTGAAAAAAGAAAGGTGTCTCTCAGAATCGAAAGAGAAAAACCTATGGGAAAAACAAAAGCATTATACACAATTTAAACCAATAACTGTCGTATAATTAACAAGGATAAACTGATGTTTTTTAGTTGATGAGTACTGCAGATATCACTGTTAAATCATTTGATCATTGGTTTCATTATGAAAACGTCGAGACCGGAAATACTGTTTTCAACCCGTAACTTTACATGGAGGCTGCCGCATACCTCAAATCATCTTCGTAATATCTATCAAACTATAGATCCTACATATCGACTGGACGTGGATTCTAATAGTACAATATACACTTCTCGCTAGAAATCTAATCAAAAAGCGTTTTAATGGCCAAACTATACTACAATTTAGGATTTTACAGAGAGGGTTATTTGTGAATAAACGACCATCTGTAACGTTAGCATTCAACGGGAGCACTAGAGGGCGAAAACTTTAAAACGTAATTATAGGACGTATTAAGCGCTTGAACAAACGACATATTTGGTCGTACAGTAATAAGGGCCTGAACAATCGGCCCATTTGGTCGTATGAGTTGGAGGACTTGTTGATAGGAAAATATAGGAGAAAAAGTAAGAAAGGGAGAAAGGCTGTCTTTTTACTGAAATACCTTAGAGTGGACCTTCCTGACTCTGTATTTGATGTGTTGCTTTGGAGTATTTTGGGGTTTTATTTTTTACAAGTTGCTATTTCACGGATAGTTGGGACTAGATATATTCGGTGCAGACCTCCCTCCTTCGCGGTGACTGAATTTCTTTTGGGTGTTTTCCCTTATTTTATTTCGAAAACCGCGACTGAGGCTTTTGAGGTGGTGATAGACTCCTTTTTCTTTTTCTACCATAACGTATCTTCAACCAGGATTCAAGGTGAGCGTTTTCCTTTAGCATAACCTGGAGTCGTGCGTTGTATGGGGCACAGGTTATGTTTAATTTTACAGGTTTTGGACAGGTTTGTATTCCTCGGGGAGACCTTCTTCTTCAAGCCCTGACTGACTGAACCAAGGGAATACCTTGCGGTGCTAACTAGTGATGGCAAAATGAAGCATCGAACCACTTGGACAATTGTGTCGGAAATAGGTTCATTTCTCGAAGCTTCAGTTACAGCGACCTCTCCTGGCGAAGTGCAAGGCTGCAGTGGGTTTAACGTATCTTTGCCTTGAAAAATATTCGATGCACACACACACTAAGACTGAATATCATGTTCTATTTGCATTTAAAGATTGATAATTGTGTGTATTGGGTTATTGAGAAGAGACTAGAGAGTGCTGGACATTTTTTTGGGCAGAGAGGGCCTTTTATCAGTTATTAAAGTATTAAAGTTGAAAAGCAATGATTAAAAGTTCACCCATTCCAGGCTTTGAACTAGCTGCGCGAAGGACATCGCCGCAGTCGGGCCGCAGGCTCTATCCACTGGGCTATCTATTCCTTAAACTATTGAACTGTTTGTTTAGAGCAGTTATAAAGTGTTGAAGCGCTCAAATTCGAAACTGTTTCAACCTGTCACCTGTCAAAATAGAGACGAGGCAGTGCATTGAATCGCCTGATTGGACGGCGAACCAGTGAGTTGATTCATTCAGGAAATGAAGCAGTCACTGCTTCTGACGTCATATGTCACGTGATTTGAAGCAAGCTTCGAATCTCTGGGTGTTTCTCAATCGCGAGTAAAGCTGCTGCAGAGCCACTATTTCAAGCATACTACGTCATCGAGTGCCGCCGAAGTACTGTTCCAATCTCCAGCATACTTGGAAATCTACCGAGCCCGGCGTACTCCGTTTGGAGAAATATCGAGGCTGCACATGAGTAGACTCCGCGGTCTTAAAATCCCCACAATGCTTTGCGCACGGACCAATTTCCCCAAATCTGTGGCGGAAGATGTAAGGCGGGGCCTCTCATATGACGCACACCTGCACACTTGCTAGCCTGTTCCACTCTTTGTTTTCCGAATGCCAGGTAGTATTCTTGCCTCGCTTCTGAAGCAAGATGCTCGGCAGACATGTGCTACCAAGCAAGCGTACTCGCGATTGAGAAACACCCACTGCTTCTATGGAATAGGAAGTCCAGGGTTGAAGCTCCGTTCGAAGCTTCAGTGTCAAACTGCCATCACTAGTGCTAACAATTGGTCTTTGCAAGTCAGGGTGGTAAGTATGCGGCCCTCCTGGGTCCCATTCTGGGACAGCACGCAGGTTGTGGCGATCCAGGGTGTCAGGATCTTAATCGCTACCCAGTCTTCTATGGGATTTAGTCCTACCACAGCAGCAGTCCATACTACACCACATACGTTTATTGTCACATCCCTTTAGCTATCGTCCCCTAGTCCTTGGTGACTGGGCCGTGGATGCACCAGGTCCTTAGGCTTTGGTCTCTATCTCCGGATCTAGTGTGTGCGGTGGTACCGTTGTTTTCTATTTCTAAATACTTTTATGGTTTACCCGACTGACCTTTTCTCTGGGGTTAATATTAGATCTTATTTAATATTGGTCATTATTCTGGGGTCTTGCGTTGTATGGGACACAGGTTTTTGGCTTTAAAACATCGTTTTTTTCTCGTTCTATTCCTTAGTAATTTAAACTAATGATTTATTTAATAATATTGGACACACTGTGGGGACTTGATCAACCCCAGCAGGGCCTTCCTGGGGTGAGAGTGTCTAGTGATAAATGGCCGAAACACTCAATGATCTCTAGGTCCACTATTGAGGATGTGTCACATTTTTTAAATAATAATATTGTTTTAGTTTTCAATATGATTATAGTTAGTTTTTAATAATTAGTATTTTGGGTTTTTTAGACTTTCTAAATAATTCTGACTGGACTGACTTTATTATACGTTTTGTTATTTTTCCTGAGTCTATATACCCCTGAATTAGATTAGATATTTAGAGATTAGGAATAGCCTATCGGTTTTATAACTTTTTTATATAACTTATTTTTCCACTTTCGACTCCTGCGGTTTTCTTTTAAACCCTTACCCACTTGCCCACTTTGTAGACATGTTGTGCCTCTCTTCCTCTGTTTCTTACTTCTCTTTTCCTACCCCTGTTCCTCAGACCTATCCTAAGGGAGTTGACACGTTGTGCCTCTTCATTTTTACTTTCTAAGGTTCAAAGTTCATGTGGCGAGGGATTCCTTTGAGCGATATGCGCCGGCCCGTGCCTTACCTTGGACTTCTAATAGAACTGCTCGGGTCTTGATAGATTGAGTGGGGAAGTTAAGGAGATATATGCCATGTGCATGTCAATGGTCTGCAAAGGCTACAATTCCCTCCAGAAGGAGTTTCTCTCCGACACCCCCGTCTGCCTGAAACGCCTCCATTGGACTCCTTTGTTTACTTCTGTGATGTAATGACATCACTATGTTACACACAAAGGGGGGAAAGAGGTAGTATGAGACAAATAAATAACTTTCTCAACATTAAAGCATGATAACATGTCGAGGCACAAAATACAAATATGAACCTGAAAATGAGCATAATATGTCCACTTTAAACTGTGAACGTATGTGTATATTTATATCACATCATGTTTTATTTTTTCAAATCACACTCAGGAGTCGGAAATCATGTTCATTTAGTTTAATTTGTACATTAAAATAAACTATTTACACAATATAAAAAAATCAATTTACAAGGCAGTTCAGTTCTGAACAGTTCTTCAAGACACAAACAAACAGGTCTCTTTGCCAGAGACTGTGTTGTACTTTGTCAATGAGGTGGCGTTGAGATGTCATGCACTTCTGTAGGAATCTTAAAGCTAGCAGACAACAGACACAATCACAGACATGACATAGGAAGTCAGGCCTTTGGGAGGAGGACAACATGGAAGGCAGTTTTAGAAAAAAACATTGTCTCAAGGCGTATTCAAGTGCTGTTTACACTTAGTTACATTTCATTCATTCATTTGAGGCTTTTTCCATGATAAAACTATCATCTTTTAGCCAGTGGAGAATATGGCACACGTGAGAAGTGTAATAAAGGCACTTAAGGTAGAAATCTAAAAAAGATTATTGCTCTTTAAAGGATTGTCTGCTTCCAGTTGCTTCAGTGGCATGTTCCTGACATGTTGAGTGAAATGTCCCTTTCATTTGTCTGTATAAACATAGAAAAAAGTAGTACCAGCTACCTAGTTTAAAGAAAAAAAAATAAGCTTTGGTCCGAACAGAATGTATCTGTTTCTGTCATATCTGGCTGTATTTCCTCTTTGGTTTGAGGTTTGTAAGTCATTTCTCTCAAAAATAACATTTAAATAAATCTTTTCACAAAATATAATTTGAGAGCATCTTTATGTTCCTTTGCCCCTAAGAAAAATCACTATAATAGTCCTATAATATACATATAGGTGTTACAGTGTAGTCAATAGTGGCCTCATCGTACTGTATGGCAGTTAATGCTGTCATGGTTTCACTATAGTTGATATATTTGCACATCATCCTTCTGTAGGATCATCATAGTTCATTTTCTCTGTCTCGATGCGGTGCATAGATGTCCTTGTCTGTGATATGTTTCCTCACATGTGCCTCTTCATGTGCAGCGCGAGGTGGTCGGACCTGGAGAATGCGCGTTCACACAGGTGACACTGGAAGGGGCGGTGTCCGGTATGCTTCCGGAAGTGACGCGTGAGCTCATCGGAACGAGCGAACTTCCAGCCGCAACCCTCCCAGCTGCAGTGGTATGGTTTCTCCCCTTTAAACACAAAAAAGCAAGAAAACCATGAGTGACGTCACATTGGGTATAGATACATAAATGGTCCACCTCATCCAGCATGCCACTCTTACCTGTGTGCGTCCTGAGGTGCGCCTTCAGGTGGGAGCTCTTGGTGTAGGTCTTCCCACAGCCGGCGAAAGTGCAGGTGTGTGTTGCGGTCCGTTTCCTCGGCCAGGACCGACGACCCCTCTTCGGCTTGGTGTCCATCATCTCCAACGGGGAGGACGGAGGAGTGAGCAGGACGCGCTGACCGGCCGCCGGCTGCTGCTGCATGCCCAAAGCTGCGTCCTCACAGAACATGCCGGGGAACTGGGGATGGTGGTGCGCCACGGGGAAAGGGAGCTGCATCCCCCTGTGCGGGTGAGGGAATCCCCCTGACGCGCAGCGGTGGTGCGGGTGGAAGCTCTGCGGGAAGGTGGAGTTGCACATGTGGGTCTGGTGGCTCTCGGAGCTCATCAGGTCGTCCGGGCTCAGAGGCGGCGTCATGCTGCCCAGCGCGGCCTGCGGAGAGGTGGCCAGCCGCGGCTGCTGCTCGTAGGACATCATGCAGGAGGCGTTCCCCTCGAGCTTGACTTTGGTGCAGCTCTGAGGCACCATACCCATGGCAGGTCCGTACGTGTCCATGGAGTCGGGCTCCACTTTAATGTTCAGATGCTCGGGGAATAAGTCCTGAGTGTTGGGGAAAGGCGCAGAGCTGATCAGGAATCTGCCCTGGATGCTGGGGCTGTCCCCGGGGAGGAAGCTGGTGTCTACATCGGAGCGAAGGAGCTCCGCCATCAGGCTGTTGTATGGAGGAGGGGGGCTGCTCATGTCTGGGGCAGAGGTGTAGGTGTTCTGCTGCTGGGGCATCCCGGTGTGCTGCTGCTGATATACAGACAGCCCGGACTCTGCTGTGTTAGCCAGAATAAACTCAATATCCAAGAACTTATCCAGGTCCTCTTCGTCTTTTATGCTGAGGAAGCTGCTGTCCATGTTGAGCGAAACTCCGCTCATGTCACTCTTCCACCTCTGGAGCGAGAATAAGAGAGTATTAGTTTGTTTCAGGATGTACAACTTTTTATCAGTATATAATAAAACAAGTCACCTTGATAAAATAGCTCAAACGAAGCACAACATGCACACTGAAAGAAGGCGTAATACTACCAAAACACATCAAAACATAACTTTGCAGTGACTTAAAACTTAGCAGCATTCCAAAGTTTAAAAATGTTTAAGTACCAGCAAACACCACGAATGTATTTCTGATGTGATACAATGATGGTGTTAAGTTATGTATTCAAATAATTTCTCATCTCTTCTGAAAACAAGTGTAAATAAACATTGCAACTTACATCTTCCCAACATTTCTCCTTTTGGTTGGCAAATGTGGAGATTGATGGTAGAATGGTCCCATGCAAGGCCATTTCCATACGTTGTTTGAAAAAAGTAGAAAGTCAATAATCGTTATATATAAAAAATGTTGTTGAAAGAAATCAGCAGAGTCCGCTGAGTCTCCAGTAAACGCGTCTACGTTGCTTCTCCTGCGGTCCGGTGAGCTGCTCTCCACTCATGTGCAGCGGTGCGTCTTGAAGCAGCAGCTTTTCTTATAAATAATGTTCGCAGGACAAATCAGACCAATGCGAGGCGAGGGGAAGGAAGCGCGTCTAGGATGGGGACGCTGCGCACCGGACAGCCCCCTAAATTTAGCCTCGGTATAAAAGTCCGAGTTTCCCTGCGAGTCAGAGACAGAGAGCGGTGAGAGAGTCAGAGGAGGACTGATACGGAATGCTCTCTCTACTCCGCTGCGGGCAGCTACTTAACCTTCTCAGGGAACCCGCCCCTCCGCCAAACTTGCCCAACAACTGGCAGGGCAGAGAGAGAGAGATTCCGCCCCTGATCCAGCACCCAAAGACATTAGTCTCAGGCAATTAACACGTAGTTGAAAAAGAGCAACGAAACCGATACTAAAAGGACGCTCAGGCTCTCCATAAAGTGGCATAGAGATGCTACAGGTGCCATGCGTATTACGCACACTTTTACGATAATATCCTGTTCTAAAACATATGGCTTCATTATCATTTTATCTACCAAGCACCATATGACAACAAACATAATGTTGTTGAATAAAAATGCTGAGGTTTCAATTTGAAACAGCATTTCACATTGTGAAAACAACAAGAGGAGGGGGGGGGGGTATAATCTGCTGCAGTCTTCAGCCACTAGGCGCCAGCTTCACCACGGCTTTCCTCTGCTCTATCTACTTCTCAAAGTTCCTTGGAGCATCACCCAGATGACCCCCCCCCCCAAGTCCACCATTCATATGTCATGTACACGCCTGGCACTGTGAAACCTGTGAACAGAGAGTTGCTGTTAGCTGTTACTATGCCCATGACCAATCAGGGGACTGGCCAGAAATCTCAGAACCACATCAGAGGGTTGCATGAACACATTCTCATCAAACTGGCTTCACTGATATTGCATTATGCCTTCTTGCGATTTGATAAACAAATAGTTGTGCAGCTTTGGAAAACAATGCTTTATTACTGGACAGCTGTCACATAACTGTGGTGGAGTAAGAAGTGCAAAGAACAGCATGTATCTCATATCAAGGACTTTAACTTTTTATGATCTTTCCTCCTCTTGTTGATACTTTTGTCTTTGTTATGACCCTCTTTGTGTTCATCGTCTGTATAATGTATTATGTAACAATATTCAAAGGATATGTTATAAGATTGGACCCTATTCATTGATTTATCAGAGGTTTGGAAGTAAACAATTATTTCCACACATTATGTGATCATGCTGAGTATTACCCGATGAAGACATAATGCTGTATCATTACGTTTTTTTGGGCATGTTTTTGATGTACCGGTGCCTTTTCAAAAAATTGTTGAATTATTTTTTGGCTGTATGATACTGAGATGCACATACACTTTTTTTCAGGACTAACTATGAGGCCCTTATTATTTCATAAGCTTGTCCAGTTGGTGATCAAGACCTGCCAGTGAGTGCACATCAGATATAGTATCAGAGGGGTTGTAACTGACTGAAAAATTGTAAATACACTTTTATTTGTATTGATATAGCGTCTTTCTAGTCCTTAGACCACAAGGTTCCAAATGAGAGTCTTGCACGAGGACTTTTTGGCGCATTTCCACTACACGGTCGGCCTCGGCCACACTCGGTACGGCTCGGTACGGCTTGGCCGCGTTGGGCCTTAACAGGGCCGACTCACTTCATGCTGCGCTTCCATTACAGTTTAGGAACTGGGGTAGTTACTATAGTAACGCAGTGTAGGCGGAGCCGTGACGTCATCTTCAATGAGAAATCCAGAAACACAACACAGCCGTTAGCTGTGAGCACTCAGAGCTCACAGCTCCTTATATATGTTCAGAAACTCGACAAAAGTTAAACAAGTACACACCACAGACTGCCTGTGTCATGGTGAATACAGTCGCTGCTTTATTTATGTCTGTATAGGCCGTTGTTGTGAGTGTGGACGGTCGGGGCATATACTGCGTTAGCTTAGCCAATCTCCATTTAGAAAAACACGCATTTTAAAAGGTTTTTCGCCTGCCGTCTGTCTGCAGACTTGACAAAGCATTAATTCATGGTTTTTACTAACCGGTATCAGTATGTTGTTACTTCGGCATCATTTTGAAACGTGTATTACAATTAAATCACGGTCAAATATGTCCATCTTGTTGTAGTTCTAGCCCTCTTGCCAGCGCTCCTCTCTCTAGTTTAGCATACTCAGCCCGACTCAGCCCTGTTTGTTGGCCCCGATAGAACCACAATTTTCTAGGGCCAGAAAAGAGGGGAAAAAGTGGCCCCGCGCCGTGCCGCGCCGGAACGAGGCCTAGTGGAAGCACAACCAAAAAAGGGGACGGCACGACACGGCACGCTTAAAGCGAGCTACGCGCTGCAATGGAAATGCGCCATTTGACATGCCAAATGGAGCAGTTAGGGATTAAACCGCAGACATTGAGACTGATGTACGACCCGCCCTATCTCCTGATCATTATTAAAGTTTACATACATAACAGACAATACAAGTATCCACAGGTAATACAAACTTTTACCTCATCTGACGTTCAGATCTCTCACTGTCTTCATTATCTGTCTCATCCTTCAAAACAAGTGTCTTCAGTGTATGACTAGCTGCTCTTAATCCCATAATAACTCTTGAACATAAAGATGTCAAACATTTGATTGGCAATCTGCATTACCAGTTTGGCGGTGTTCCTCTGTGAATGATGGAACCTGTACAGCCAGCAGACATAGAGAAAATACCAGGTGTGTCGTGTACATTCTGTACTTTTAAATTGTTGCCCTCTGGTGAACACTGATTTGAAATGCTAGATAAAGGGTGAATGGCTTCTGCCAGTTATTAGGGGATTTGGATGCATTCCAATTAAGTTGTGTAACAATATGAAGCATGTGACGAGGTACAGCATGTATCAACCAATACACTCTGTCACAGCCATTAGCACAGATTGAGCACAAGTCTGCAACGCACCTTTCTTCCTATAGATATGGACTGTTTAAAGTGTCAGTTCACCCAAATACAACTTAGTCTCTAACGGAACCACCACTGCCTCTAGGAGTCCTACTTATAAAAGCTATTTACACTAAGCTCTGTGATTGTGTTGATGTGTACATTTACATGCAATTCATACATTCAGCTATTATTCTTCTATTCTCTGTGAGAGAATTAATTAATGCTCGACCACTGTGTGAAATTCTGCATGATTACTGTGGGTTCCTGTGCCAAACATTTAACCCCGAAAAACAATCAGCACTCAGTGTCTATACAGAAACAGCACAAGATGAAATATCCTATACGTCGCTGAAAAGAAAGTACATTCACGAATGTGAGGATATTTGCTTAAACTTTAAGAGTTTAGTTTTTTTTAGTTTTGTTATTAACTTACATGCCTGCAGCCTGGCACCAGCAACATCTGCATTAGCTGTCTGGTCACGTTTTCGAAATCTCAATTTTCAGAAATCTCAGAGACCGATGCTGATGATTTCTATCAAACTAAAATGTATTCACAGAGATTGAAGACACGTGTACTGCTTTTATCTTACATTCTTAGGTATAGATAGATATATACTTTATTTATCCCAAAATTGGGAAGGTATTTTCTTGCAGCAGCAGTGTCAAGCATTACATAAGTTAAAAAGGTTTAAAAGATACAATAAGATACAAATATAATACAAAAGAATAAACATTAGCGGCAAAAATATACACATTTTACAATAGAAAATAAATGTATTCCTATATCTAAATAATACCCAACATAACGAAATATTGAATAACAATATACAGTCTCACTAGGCTACAGGAATACATATAACTATAATATAGACACATAATGGCATTCGATTGAACATCATTATCATATTTGTGCAAAATAGCTGTTGTGCAAATTGTTCTGGGTTATGGAAGAGGAGACACTTTACAGTTATGGGGCAACGAGTACGCAGGACTCCAATATCTTCATTAGAAGTAGCGATTGCCAAATGAACCCAATGAGAGTACGACAAATACTGGAAACATGTTTTTAGGTGTCAGGATGCATTTTGAATTCTCCTCCAGGCTTATCTCTGTACTTGCAGAGATTATGCTGCTATCATTCCTCCTGTGTGGTTAAATGTATTTCCCTTAACAGCCTTTCATCTACATGCATTTTGTTAACTCCACCACAGAGTTGTGTCTCATGTCCTGATCTTCATGTTATGTTCAATTTCTCTGCACCAAAGATATTGATATTGAAGTGACTGTTATTTTGTATTGATTGTTGTGTTTTTGTTTATCTTAATGTGTGCATGTGTAAATGTGTCTGTTGATTGTGTATAATAGGATATACATATTTTATACATATCTGTATACTGTATAATTTTACATTCGGGATTGTTGGAAACGTCATTTCGATCTCTCTGTCTGTAAACACAAACTGAGTAAGATTGACATTAAAGCTGACTCTGACTTTGAATTTCAATCAAATAAGAGAAAAAACACATATTCAGAGTTGATATCTTTATTTCAGATATAATAATAATCATATTAAATGTGTCTTTCTTTACTTTCCAGCAGTTGTTACACAGTGAGATTCCTGGTGTGTATTTCTCAGTTTTCCCTAATAGAAACTGCCACTTGTTCCCAGAATTCCTTGCCACAGCCAGCGCTCCGCTCTCACTTTGATAATGACAGCATGCTTCTACAGTTGTTCACCAGATGAAGCGCCACATCTCTCCAGCTCTGGCACTCTGCTCTCCGCTGAAAGTTTGTCTTCTTCCTCTATTTCCTCCGCCGTCTCCAAAGATTCATCCATTGCATCTCCATCTTGTCTTCTCCTTTTCCAAACACACTGATTCATGGCTCAGTAATCACCCATGTGTGCTGAGAGTCACCTGCGTCCGTGCCGATGGCGCTGCAGCTATAATTGAAAGCACATTGGGCGGCACTGTTTACTCCGTCACCCCCAGTTACTTCTCACACTACGTTAAGGCGATCTGATCCTTTAATTGAGATGTGAACAGCAGACAGTGGACCTGCTCTGTTTGTGTCTTGTTCTCTCCAAGCCGGCGAAGAAAGCTGTACTCCACATACTGAAAGTATTATGGAAATGCATGCATACATCTGTGTTTGAGAGAGTGATTCTGTGTGCTTTGGCCTGTTGTCACATTATGATGCTGTACATTTCCATGTGGAAGTGAGTCCTGGCTGGGCGAGCCTCAGAGCTTCCTACATGTGCTCATCTGGCTCTGTGTCACTGAGGC